AATAAAAGGGAGGGGGGCCTAGACTAGCTGGTCTCAAAGGTCCACATTGTAGTTCTAGATCAGATTTGATCTGCAACAGCGGAGGGAATATATATATATATATATATATATATATATATTAATATTATAAAATTTATAAAACATATTTACAATTCAATATATATAATAAAATTAAGGATCTTTGAAGTAATAAAGTATATAAGAGATCTAAAAGAGGTATAAGTAAATGGTACGCAAAGTCCAAGGGATGAATTTCTAATAGGGAATATCAAAGAAGGCTTCTTGGAGCAGGTGCTAATTGAGTTGGGTCCAGTTTGGCTCAAGTATAGGGAATGTGGAGAGAAGCAAATATAAAGAAGTAGAGTACTGCCAGATGGTAGAGATCCTTGGATGTCAGGCTAAGGAAAATTGGATTATATTCAAGAGGCAATAGGAAGTCCCTGAAAGTTTTTGAGCAGACAAGCGATGAGATCAAACTTGGACTGAGGAAGAATAATATAGCAGCAATATAAAGATGGACAGCAGACAGGAGAGTATGGAATATGGAAGCCTTCAGGAGGTTACAGTACAGATAGGAATTCATGAGAGCCTATCCTGGGAAGTTAACAATGGGAACGGAAAAAGTAGAATGGATATAAAAGCAGTGGTAGAATTGACAATCATGTATCCTATAGGTTGTACAAATATCATTAGTTCCATTTACAAGTAAGAAACTGAGACTCAGAGATACTAGTGTATGATCACATGATTAGTAAGCGAAGGGATTAAAACTCAAACTTCTGACAAGAGGATCAGTGTCCTTTCCACTACAACATGCTGACTTTCTGGTAAGGTTTATCTACAAAAGTTTGTCTACATGGTGACAATTATTTTTTCAGTCACAACTCACAAATACTGTCTATTAATACAAGAAAGGATTGCAATCTGCACCAGTAAAAGGAATACCCACAGTGAGGAAAATGAGTCCTTGAAGTACTATAGCACAATTGCTAGGACTTAGCATGGACTCCAGTTTTCCCATCTGAAAATTGATCTCTAAGGTCTTGGACAGCTCCATTAAGCATAATACTTGACTTGATATCTCTGGATCATAAAGGTACATTTTATTTTTTCTTATAAGGTGCTTTAAATTACACTTCAAAGATTCTCCTAAATGATTTTCATCATATTTGGAGGTGAGGGGGAGAGAAAGGGCAGAGAAAACAAACCTTTCAGAAAAAAAAATCCCCCCTTTTCTTCTTCCTGGAAGAAAGGAGGTAGGAAGACTAAACTGATTTACTAGCAAGATATATGGGAAAGTGTCATGAAGAAAAAGTAACAGACACATTAAGTTTTTCATTTCATTAGAGTTATGAAGTTATCCACTGGCCAGAAGAGCTGTGACAATTTTTAATTTCTAAAGAAAAATGAGTTTTTCTTATCTAGATACTTACATACTCTTTTTCAATAAGAAGAATTCCATACCCTCTACCCTGCAGAATGTCTATTTTTACTCTCAGTCCTTTTATAAAAGTCATGGACTAATAAATTCATTGCTCTTTAGGGTAGTATAAGCATTCCTACCCTATTTTGCAGATAGAAAAAGTAAGAAAAACAGGCTGTACTTTTCCTATAATCAGGCACTTAGGAAATAAAAATTGGGAACCCTGGTCTCTTAGTGCCAAAACCAAGATTCTACACATTATCTTATACTGCTTCTCAATTATTCATGCTCAGTTTACTCCTAATAAGGAGGTAGAGGTGCTTGAAGCCCATTCCTTACAGAGTATCTTGTCGGCAACTGCTGGGATTCAGATTGTTTTGTATCTGTAACTATAGTGCCTCTCCATTCAGTTACATGGTTCTTCTGACTTGCTGCTACTTGGGATTCTACCTTTTTCAACACCACACCCTTGTAGTGAATGAAATACAGGCTGAAGAAACAAAAAATAAACTATCCTTACAAATTAGGTGAAGAAAGCTTCTGGTGATTTCAGGGTCCTCACCCACTTATGTGGCCAGTGCCACCTTTCTCCCCCTCCCACCCGCCACTCCCCATCATCATTCAACTGCAATAGTTTAAGAACTATGGGGCTCAAATTCTGGTGTCTACTTCCCACACAGCAGGTGTCTACCCTCTGAGATTACATTGCATTAACACTGCATATACGTATATGTCCAATAAATTAAAGTTCTTTACATGTTATTTCAACCATTAAAATGTGAGCTCTCTGAGGGCAGGGATCGAGGCTCGTTTGTTTTTTCCTTTCTTTATCTCCCCAGCACGTGTCCTGACTCGGAAGTTAGCTTAATAAATGCTAATTATATGACTGAACCCTATTAAAATGTAGATAGGTCTGGGTGGTTAACACCTTAAGCTAACAATAGTCTTTTGTAAACTAGTAGAAAACTATTTTAGGGAAATGAGTTTGTGAGAAAGGTCAAAAGGTCTCCAAGTGTCTGAAGAGATGGGGGGGGGGGAGAGAAAAGTGATATAACTGAGAAAGTTTACCGCCCATGTTGCCTAGGGTTTCAAATTTTCCAGAAGCACATTCTGTTCTTCATGTGTATGTGTTTGTGTGTGTGTTTGCTGTCACAATAACTTGAGAAGAAAGCATCCACAACACCAGTTATTACCATTTTGTGTAGCCAGCCATGGATACTAATTGGAGCACACTCCAGTGCATCACCACTTTTCGGCACATAAGGGGAAAAGGATAGATATGGAATAGAAAAAGGCAAAAGCCACAAGGCCTCTGACTTGGCTGAGTACATGACCCTGGAAGTATCCTGGCTAAAGGTGCTCAGAAAGTCTTTAAAACTTTCCAGAGGATCTTTGGATAATCCACAGAAACCGCACTCTACCTGAGGTTGGGAACCCCAATAAATATCCCATGGAAACAGGCTGTCTTCCCTTTTCTTTCTAAAAAAAATTCTTTCCTTTTTGAAAATTTCATCTAGCTCTTAAATGTGGGATATGTACCCTTATATTCATGGCAAACTTACTGAGTTCTGTGCTAGATATTATTATTTGAAAGGTAACTGAAGAAAGCAAAATGTTCAGTCAGAAAAAATTCAGCATCACACTTTCAAAAGACAAAGCCTAGATATTCCAAAGCTCAAATTGGTTATACCCTCAAAACCTTTTTAGTTAACTGCTATGAATGAAGTGCTCCAGGAAATACATACTTTGGAATATGTCATTAACAATAATGGACTTGGAAGTTACATTTTAGCCCTGTTTCATGACTTGCTGAGCTTAAATCTGCACTTTCCCCCTCTGACATTACATTGATATTTACTAGTTGTACAAATGAAGCCTGGCACTGTACTAAGTTTTATGGATCAAGAGTGAACAACATTAAGGCAAGATCCTTGTCCTCATGTAACCTGAGTCCAATTTAGGCTAGAAAGAGCTTCTAACACATAAATAACAACATATAAACAGTAAATATTTAGGTTTCTAGTCTGTCTGTAGGTATGATATGTGTTCATATATATGTACACAAATCGGAATGAGAGAAAATAAATTTGACAGGTAAATGTTGATCATAACTAGAAGGGGAGGGGTGTCAAAGAGATTAAAATAGGACTAAATGAGGTTCCTTCCCTTATCCTTCTATTCCTGGAGGAACCTGCGTTCAAAATCCCTCTCTCTGGAGTCCCCAGGCACAGACTGCTACCTTAAGAGAGAGGACTTTATTTAAAACTGAGTTAGGGAACAGCCCCACAAAAGGTTATTGGATTGAATGCTATCAACATTGGCTACACTTGTAATCTCTGTAACTCAACTCCTAGAGATCCCCAGCCAAAGAATGCTCTAGAATACACTCATCTTTTAGCATAATGTGGAAACTCCAGCCCTGCAAGTTTCCCAAACAACTATTTACCTCTTCCCTGCTCTTTTTTCCTAATGAACTTCCAAGAATTTTTTTAAAAGAGAGAGGGGAAAAAAAGGATAGATCATTCTTGCACAAAACATTCCTAATTTTACACACCCATTTGTCCTCTGGATATACTGTAGCTATTCTAATTAGTAAGCAGGGACTTTTGCAGTTTCAGGACCTATGCATGACTCTTAGAACAACACCATACTATTGCTATTTCAGGATGACAGATTCCAGGTTAACCTTAGTGCCACGACATTTTATCTCATTTCTGCAGTCTTCCACTTATGTATCCAGAAGTCAGAGTTATTAAAGTCAATTGGGAAAAACTGTAAAGATGAAGGCAAAAAAAATTTTCACATCTTTAGTTCTCTACCTGGCAGACTTTTACTTTTTGCTCAAGCAAGCTAATTAACAGGGCAAAGACGAGCTCACTGATTTTTTTTTTTTGGCTGAAGCAGCATAATTTTCATTAACTTTATTAAATGGCGAAAAAAAGGAGGGTCAAAGAGCAAAACAGGAAAGGGCACCCCTTCCTTTTTGTCTTTTCAATCCCTGTTGCCAGCTATTCCCAGCAGGCAGAGCTGAGGTGCAACACTTTGTATATTTAGTGGTTCGGGCTTCGGAACTCGCCGTGACCTTGGGGTAAGTAAATCACTTTAATCCTGACTCCTCAGCTCTCCACTTCACAGGACGTCTACAACAACCCCTTGTTAAATGATTGTGGAAAAATGATGGCTGCAAGGTGGCGTGGGTTTTTTTTTTTTTCGCCTTTTTTCAAAATTGAAAAGACTCTTTGCTGTTGGTTCTTAGTTTTAATGCTCTTCAACGCCCCCTCTGCAGGGAGGAAAACTGTAAGCGGCCAAGCAGCTCAGGGACAGATTCGAAGACACAGTAGGAAGGTTGCAAGCTACTGACTCCTCGCCACTGCATTCCCTGTATGTAGCCCGGGAAAGCAGACAGATGGACTGACGGACAAGCAGACTGAGGAGCATACAAAGACACCCCCCCCAATCTACCACACACACACTCACACACACGCACGCACACGCGCACACACACGTGTGATGAGATCATTCTGCTGGCTGCGGGGCCGGGCACGAACAGCGGGCAGATCCCGGTGCGGCGCCTCACCTGTCTTGAACACCATCGCCTTGTCGTCTTTGGAGTCGAAGGTCTCCAGCATGGACACGAAGAGCACCCCGCACGCGTTCTGGATGCCGAACACCGACCCGTTGCACCACATGGCCGCCAGCATCACCACCCAGCCCCAGCCGCCCTCGGGGGGCTCGGGCATGGCCCGGCTCGGGGACCCCGTCACCTCCTTGTCCGCAGGCACCTCGGGTCCCTCGGCGGGCTGAGAGTAGACGCCCCCCTGAGGCGGGGGGCTGGGCTTCATCCCGTGCCCCGGGAAGGGCTCCTCTTGGGCCCGCATCATCGCCCCCGCAGGACGGAGACCCTCCTTTCCCCACCCCCCTCCCCCCCCGCGGGCGTCTTCCCTCCCCTCCTCCCCCGCGGCTCGGGCGCGTGGGGAGGCGCGAGCTCCGGCGGGCTGGGCGGTCGGCCGGAACGCTCGGGACCCTGCGGCAGGCGAGCAAAGGCCAAGGTAAAGGCAGGGGGGACCGAGAGGAGGGGGAGGGAGAGAAGGCAGACGAGGGTGGCGCGAGCGCAGGCTCGAGGGCGGCTCTCGGGGCTCGCGCTCCTCAGGGTTCCAGCCCTGAGCGCTGGACAGGCCCCCCCATGCTTCCCCAGCTATCTGCTCCAGAGCCCCTGCGCCCTAGTGCCAGTCCTCTAATAGAGCGCCCGCCCCTCCCCCTCTCGAGGGGGCGTGGTCAGAGGCGGGGCGCGGCCCCTTCGCTTCTCTCTTATTGGACAATCCCGAGAGAGGGAGTGGGCCTGGCGACCCGGGGGGCGTCTCACTTGGCCTCGTGTGGCCGAGTGAGGGTTTCAGAAACACATAGTTACCTCTCCCCACTACCCCCCACCTCCAGAGGAAACCATCAGTCTCCTCCTCGGCTTCCTGTACAATCGGCGGGCCCACAACTCGAGTCTCTCGAGGGCTTCAAGAAGCAGAAAGGAGGCATCGAATTCAATGGAGGGCTCCTCGTCCACTCGCGCGCACAGACCACCCGAGCGACAAAAGCGCGCGCGAAAGCACAGGCGGTCCCAAACACGCGCGTCTACCTCACACACACACGTCACGTACACACCACCTCGCTCTGACACACTCATACAGTGTCACACACCACCATCGTCAAGATCGTTTTCTGTCCCACTCAGCCCTCTTCTGTCACGCTCGAAGGCAAACCTGTCCACGTTCATGGGGTCCCCACCCCCTCAGGTACACACCCCTACAACAACACCGCGTATATACAGCTCGGGCTGCCTTCATAGTCACAACCGTGCACACACACATACACCTGAGAAAGTTGGCACCTGAACACTGAAGGAGTGAAGTCAGTAGCCTCAGGGAATATTCCCATTTCTTCACCAAGGAAAATTAGGAGGACACGGAATTACTTCCTAGTCTGCTCCTTGTTTCATGCTGACTGCCAAAAATTGTGGACCTTTAAAAAAAAAAAAAGCAGTGCATAGGGTATCAGAGCATAAGGGCAGCGGGACTGGCCTTTGATCAAGGGATGACTTACCATCAGCAACATTAAGTAGCATAATGTTTTTCTGACCCTTTAACTAAAGGTTACCTACACAGTGTTTCAATAGTATTTTGTGATGGAATGATGGGGGTTGTTTTTGGTTGAGCTGTGGTTTTTTTTTAAGCTCTTACTAAATAATACTGATTAGAATGAATCAAAATGAGTTATGCCACCTGTCTACTAATAAAGAGGTGGTAAGGATGAAAGCTTTGCCCTTGAATAAGTACCCTATTCAGCTGGCTTCTGCTCAAGTGCTATTGTAATGTGAATAAACATCTGTCCCACTGGTGCATTGAAGAGAATAATTTTTACAGATACATAGGCTATATTGTGTACTAAAGGTTTAACCAAGCAGATGTTACTGCAATGATCAGCACAAAGTTCACGCTCAATAAATGTAACTGAGTGACAAAAAAGATTGTTAAATGAATACAGAAGGAAGATAGTTGAGGCAATATGGTATAGTGGAAATGGCACTAAAGTTTTAAAAAAAAATCTTAGTTGCTGTACCACTAAACTATTTGTATGGCCCGAAGCACCATCTGGCTTAACTTTTCTGGGACTCAGTTTCCTCATCTGTAAAGCCAAAGTGTTAGATGAGATGATATCTCCAAGGTTCCTTTTAGCTCTAAAATTATAGGGTTCAATGAACAACTTTGAGTTTTGTTTTGTTTTGTTTTACAGGTTTAAGACTGGAAGAGCTGTACTGAAACTCCTTTCTCCTTCAGTCTCAGACTTCTTTAAATCAAAAAATGGATAAGGTCATTCACAGCTTCCTGGGCCATCGACAGTCATCCTGACTTTTGTCTTGCCACTGGACTTTGATCACTCTGAAGGAGAAAGTGAGGCCGACAACTTTGTGAAGTTCTGCTTCATTTAAATCTAATTCATTCAAAAGTCAAGAGATCATCTTCATGATGTCATTGATCTTCCGAGAACAAAGGATGAACAATAACAACTATACCATATGACGTTGGGCAAGTCATTAGAACTCACTGAACTTCAGTTTCTTCATCTATATAATGGAGTTAGACTATTAGATAACTTCTGGATCCAATTTACTATGATTCTTAGGACAAGAATTACAGAATATACTATAGGAAAAATGTACTAGGAATTTCAGAAAATGAAAACCTAATTCACAAAGAACTTAACCTGCATCAATGTGATAAAGTTGACATATATATATAGTCTCATTTTCATATATTTAACATCTTTATTCCAAGACTACAAAATCTTATTTTTGTGCAATCATTTTAAAAAAGGATTCTATTCTCAAACTGCTTTCCTGTTTACAGGTAGACTTTGACCCCAATCTTTATAATGCTTTATTTTCAAACTGGGTTGTCTCATTATGGCATTGAAGGCACCCTGGAATCTCAAAAGTTATGCCAGCTAAGCAGAGTCTCCGGAATGTCCTGCCAATCTCAAAAAACTTTGAGTACAAGTGTAGCAATGAACTTTACGCTTGTTTTCCAAGGACTCAGCCTCGCTGAGTTTGGAGAAACTCATTACCACAAGATAGCCAGTATCACTAACCACCAGATGATAGATTTGGTGAGGGGAGGGGGGCAGAGTAGCACCTTCCCCTTCTCCAGTCCATTCTCTAAACAATTGCCAAAATGATATTGCTGAAGCACAAGACTGGCCATGTCATTGATCTATTCAATAAACTCCAGTGGCTCTTATTACCTCTAGGGTCAAATACAAACTCCTGTTTGGCACTTAAAACTCTTCACATCATTTCAGCCTATCACAGTTGTTTAGTATACATTACTTCTCTTATTCACAGTGGTTCTAACCAATAAAGTTATTATGCACCATTCCCCTTTACTCACTTTATGATCCAGCAAAACTGTCCTGCTTGCTGCTCCTCACACATGAAATTCTATCAGTTGTGTAAACACAAAATTCTTAGTTCAGAAAAAAAAGATACACAGCTATTTGAGTGTAGGTATTTAAAAGAAACTTTTCTTTTTTATGTATTTATCCCTTAGGACAAATTTTATTTACTCCTCTATTACTCTTTCTCTAAGTAGTGATTAGGGATAGAAACAGACACCACTTCACCAAAACCTGATACAAGGTCTCTTTAGCTTTTGTAATTTGATCTGGTAAGGTTAAGTTCTTCCAGGGCAAAATGCTCTAGGCTTTAAGGTCTTAGTCTGAAGAGTAAGCATATATAACACATTTTACTAGTAATGATGGCTTAACCTCAATTGTTCTAAAATTCTAAACTTATTTACCTTTATCCACTTCCTCAAAATATCCTCAAATATCTTAGTTGGGGGAATAGAAAATGTTACAGATTTCTATGCTATTTGGTTCTTGGCTATAATTTACAGTGAAGTTGCACAAATTTATGTTTTACATTTTTTCTGCTGGTATACAAGAGGGAAAAACACTAAAATAAAAGTGAATTTCTTGTTTTCAGTGTTTTGATGAAAAAAATCTATTTGCTTCTAAATCTTAGTTACTGAAATGAATGAAGCAAGAGATAGTGGGGTCTGGATGTCAAGAAAATATAGATTCTATTTCCACACCTGCTATACTACTTCACCTCTTGCCTCTTTTTCTTCATCTGAATGTCAGAAGGTATTTTCATCTGTCTACTCATCGTGGTGTGTACAGTAATGAGTCAATGTTCATAAACTCCTTTAAGAGCATCAGATAAAAGGTTTTATACACATGTAAGTAGGTATAATTATCTATTAAGTCTGAATGACAATGATACTTTATATAGGCTTATTCATCTAGAGTTTATATTAATCTTATTATTTATTAACTAAAAGATCCTTAGTTGACTCTTTACTGAGATATGCCAAATGTCCTTATTTAGGACAATCTAGATTTTAGCTAAATATTAACTATTTTCCACTTGGAGACTGAAAAAACTTCTTAGAGAGAAGTTCTCCCATTCTAGTCCACTTAAATATAATTATAAAACTTCTTTAACAGTACTATATGTCTAATTACAGGTTCGTAAGACTGTCAAGTCTTTATTTTTAATAATATTTTATTTTCCCCCAAATTACATATTAAAACAATTTTTAACATTTAGAATTTTTTTTAGGTTTTGAGTTCCAAATTTTATCCCTACCTTTGCCCATGCCCCCCTCCCCAAACAGTAAGCAATCTGATATAGGTAATACATATGCAATCATGTAAAACATTTCCATATTATTCATTTTGTACAAGAAGACTCAAACAATAACAAAAAAAAGAAAGTGAAAAATAGTATTCTTCAGTCCATATTCGGACAACATTAGTTCTTTCTCTGGAAGTGGATAGCATGTTTCATCATGAGTCCTTTGGGATTGTCTTGGATCATTGTATCACTGAGAACAACTAAGTCATTTACAATTCTTCAATGTTGCTCTCCTGGTTCTGCTCACTTCCCTCTTTCACTCTGTATCAGTTTATGTAAGTCTTTGCAGGTTTTTCTGAAATCATCCTGCTTGTCATTTCTTATAACACAATAATGTTCCATCACAATCATATAGCACAGCTTATTCAGCCATTTCCCCAGTTGATGGACATCCCCTCAATTTCCAATTCTTGGCCATCAGAAAAAGAGTTGCTATAAATATTTTTGTACAAATAGGTCCTTTTCCTTTTTTTTAATCTCTTTGGGATACAGACCTAGCAGTGGTATCAAAGGGTATGCATAATCTTATAGCCCTTTGGGCATAGTTCCAAATTATTCTTCATAATGCTTTGATCAGTTCACAGCTCCACCAACAGTGCATTATTGTCCCAGTTTTCCCATATCGCCTCCAACATT